TCAGCCTTCTGCCATTTTGGTTCCCCAGACCCCGGCAAGAATCTGCTATATTCTGGGTACTGGGGCAACCATTGCAAAAGTCATGGTCTCTGGCCTCCGGAAGCTCACAGTCCATAAAGGAGACAGACATGTAGCCCCTATGCCTAGGGAGACACACAAGAGAGACGTGTGCAGAACAGACAGGGGAGCAATCCATCCTGTCTAGACAGAATCAAGCCATGTGTATCAGGGAGGTGGTAACTCCTGAGCTGGGTTTTTTTGTTGTTGTTGCTGTTGTTGTTTTTGGTACTGGCCGTTGAACTCAGGTCCTTCTGCATGTGAGGAAGGCAATGGAACCACTGAGCTAAATCCCCAACCCCTGAGCTAGATTTTGAAGAATGAATGAGAGTTTACTAGGTAAGGGGTGAAGGAGAATGCTTCTCCATTTGGTAAGAATATGGGCAAAGACATGAGGTAGTGAAATACAGCAGTGTGTGCAAGAGCAGTAAATGTGCTTTGGTGTGGCTGGATATCTGCTATACCATGGTATAGAGCAATCAACACAAGCTGGGAGGGCCAGATCACAAGGGGCCTCATAGGTCATAATACCCACAAGGGATCCCCTGGATGTGTCTGAGGAGGCCCGCAGAGGAAAGGCTGTGCATACATGTTCTGATTCTGGGGAGGGCTTCCTCAGCTCTCAGTAGATTCTGAAGGCATCTCGGGGACCCAAAGGCCCACTTTTTGGAGCTACTGGAAGCAACTAGGCAGAGGATCCCATTGTCAAATTTTTTCTGAGTTGAGATCTTGGGCTGGGAATGTAGCTCAGTGGAAGAGAGCCTGCCTGGCATGTGTGAGGCCCTGGGTACCATTTCCAGTATCACAAAACAAGGCCAGGGATTTAGCTCAGTGGGCCCTGCGCCTGCCTAGCAAACACAAGGTCCTGAGTTAGATCCCTGGTACCAGAAAAAACACAAAATCCCAGTATCACAAAACAAACCCATACATCAGATCTCTCTGGTGACGGTGACCCAAGAGAGGGTTTTGAGGGAGCGGCAGATTTGGTTTTTTTTGTACCAGGGATCTAACTCGGGTCCTTGCACTTGTGAGGCCAGTTTGCCACAAGGTTCCAGCCTCAGCTCTCCTCTTGGCCCTGAACAAAGTCGCTCCAAGGTAGTGTGCCACCTGCATAAGCACGTGTCTCCCGGGCCATCCGACAGGCCTTCTGGACATTCCCAAAGTCACCATCAGATGTCCTACCAGCCTCTCCAAGTCTGCCGGGCCATAGCTGAAATTGGCATCTGAGCCGAGCACACAGCAGATGCCAAGGAAATGCCACCTGGACTTCAGCCCAACTCCACCGTGAACTCACGATTGGGATTTGAGGGTTTGGGTTTAGGTCTTCCTAGAGATTGGTCAACTCTCTTATCCAGAAGCCTCAAAAATTCTTAAGGTTTTCTGAAAAGAAAACCTATTGTTCCTACCCCTATCTTCTTTTATTTTAGTTGAACAGTAACTGGGTGTTCTAAGCACATATTATTACAATACAACACAAGTGGGAGTCTTTGGCCCCAATCCATAGGTGAGCAAACCAAGGCCCAGGGCTAAGAACTGGGGCTAGAAAGCCCAGGAGAACCGGCTTCCCTCTGTCCTTCTGACCCTGCCTGGAGACCCTCAGTGACCCACCCCAGCCAGCATGGCCTGCATCCCCACCCAGCGACTGTTCTGGTCCAGTTGCCAAGGGACACTTTCCTATGTGCTCTGGCTCTCAGTGGTGGTTTTGTTGCCATGGCAATGCATCAGCCTGCTGTGCATGTGTGTGTGTGTGTGTGTGTGTGTGTGTGTGTGTGTGTGTGTGAGATAAATTTGGGAGGCCTTGCTAGATGCAGAGGTGGGGTTCTAATTGGTTTAATGGTTGCTAGGTTCAACAAGCTCACGATTGGCTGACTGTTTACATGATGACTCTGTCTGGAACCTTCTGGGGATGCAGCTGTCACCCCACTGAAGTCCAGAGTGGTCATGAATGGGGTGTGTGTTTGTGCAAACACATGCACGAGTGCACACATGCCTGTACATTTAACCCAAATGGTGAAGAGAAGCTGTACTGCCTGGTACAGTGACGAGGCAGAGAACACTGGGCTCTCTGCTGGAATCACATGGGAACCAAAGAAATGATATTTTTCTCCCAATTATACCTGGTCCACATAAATCACTGGAAAACAATGGCCTGGGTTTAGCCAGAGGAGTAAGAAACTGGTCTGCCCAGCCGAGTTCTGCCCTCTGACTCGTACCCCTAACCAGCGGGTTGTAAGGGGTCGGTCCATCCTCCCATCTCTGCTGCCGGTCTCTCCCTCCTGCCAAGGGTATCCGTGCCCTTGGAGAGCCCCTCTGTTCCTACTCAGTTTCCCACTTAGCATGTCTTCACTTGATTTCTAGAAGCCCAAGAAAGGCCCTCAGCCAAACTCTAATGACCTCACACCCATGCAATCGCTTTACAGTTTACAAAGCAATAGTCTCATCTAATTGTCACATCCTGGGAGGTGGGCGGACTTGCATGTCCTCCCATCTGGCTGAAGAGGAAAACTGAGGCCCAGATAAACAAGTGACTCCCGATCTTAAGGGCAGAATCAGGTCTCTAGCCACCCTGGGATCCCCATAGTGCTATCCAAGCCCATGCCTGCTTGGGTGTGGGGAGGGCCCAGGAAAGGCTGTAGCTGTGTGCAGAAGGAGGCTTTCTGCTGGCCCAGGTCTTCCTGCTTGGATGCTGCAGCTCATGGGGGGGAAGCGAACAGGCTTAAGTTTGGGTTTCCAAAAGCCTGCTATTCAAATGCACTGCCCACACAGTTTGAGAGGGTGAGCGGTTTTCAGCTTCCCCACTCAGCCCTCAGGCGCCCAGGGAAGCCTGTGCTGTCTGCATCGCGGTGGCGTGAATCACAGCAAGGAGGAAAGAGGACCACAGAGACAGGGGCTGGCTGCTGCTGGGGTCCCCGCTGTCATCCCACTCAGGCCTGCAGGGCCACGCTGCCACACCGTGAGAGCACAAGAGCACCCAGGGCCTCTCAGGGATGCCATGGATCCAGTCGGCCAACAGAGGGAAGGAAGGGGCTGCAGGGCCCCCAGGGGAGGGACCCCAGGAGCCAGGGCCAGTGGAACCCCAGCTAGGAGTCTCTGGTCTGAGGCTCCGGAAGGAGGGAGTTGATGGTCCGCAGAGGAGGGAAAGAGCAGAGAGCATTGATTGGGTGCCAAGTTTACATCTCATTGAAACCTCCCAGCAGCCCCAGGAGAGGGGGACTGTTACCGTCCCCCGGTTACAGGCAGGAAACAAGTCAGAGATGGAGCTGCCCAAGGTCACGCGGTCCCCGTGTCCTCAATCAGTGTCCTCAATCAGTGGGAGGTGCGAAGTCCCGCCTCAGCAGGAGGTGGGCTGCTGCACAGAGCCAGCGCTGAGAGATGGCCCTCACCCTGGCATGAGAGGAGGGTGGGCACACCACAGGTCTGGAGGGAGGTTTTCGAGCACACAGACAGGGAGCAGAGCAGGAGGGTGACCCGGAGCACATGCTTACAGCCCACTGGCATCCAAGGCACGCACGCGCGTGCCTCACCTGCCCCCTCCCTGCCTCGGCGCACGCCCTTTCCACAGACACCCACAGCCCACCCGCTTCCCTGGCTCTGAGCAGCAAGATCCAACATGGGCCCTTTCTGAGATACTTGAAGGCTCCTGCCAATGGCTCCCAGGCAAGGCACTGTGTCCCCCTTCTTCCGTCCCCAGCCAAAGGCAGATCTCAGGCTGACCAGTGTCTCCCAGAAAGAAACCGTCTCATGCTCAACATCCTTCTCGCCAGGACAGGGCTAGGGCAGAAGCGCGTGCGCACCATGGACCAGCCCTCCTCATAGGCCTGTCCAGCGAGTGCAGGACAGAGGGCACAGCCCTGGGAGGAAGCAGGGCTGGACAGGGCCCACACCGGATGCTGCTCTTCATGCCAACCCAGCTTTTTGTTTTGGACCCCTGAACTCAGATGGTATGGGAACCATGGCCATGGACCTGGGTTCCAATCATGGCTAACTCCTTGTGGGACTTTGGACCAGTTCAATCTCCCAGGCCTCAGCTTCCCCTTCTGTAAAAATGAGAGCTGACCAGCACTTACTATTCTATACAGCAGCAGCTCGTTCTCCTCCCCGCCCCCTTCCTTCTCCTTCAGCATGGGAGATTGGATACAGGTCCTTCGAACTGAGCTAGCTACAATGGTGGTCCTTTTTCAATTTTATTTGGAGACGAGGTCTTGCTAAGTTGCTGAATTGCCCAAGCTGGGCTCAAACTTGCATCCCTCCTCCCTCAGCCTCCCAGAGCCTTGGGGTCACAGATGTGCACTACCACCCCTCAGCTCTGTGCAGCTTTTTGGATGACTCCTAGTTGGCCTGTGGGTTTGATCCCGAGAAGACACTGCATTGCCTGTCAGGGCTGGAGGTGGACACGCTGGCTCTGGAGAGGTACCACTGCCAAGGTGGGAACTTTGGAAGGTTAAGCGACCTTAGAGGACCACGCAGAGGAAGAGGCCCTGGGCTATCATTGTCAAGGAAATGGAACCCAGGGCGCCAGGTGCCAGGTGGAAGACCGACACTTAGAGATGGGCACTGTGGGACCCAGCCCCGGTGCCCTGGCCCGCCCCCCTGGGGTGATCCAGTCCAGAGGCCTCCTTCCCTAGTCAAGTCTCAGGGCCAGCCAGGCCCCCCAGAACAGCCACCAGCCCCAGCAAGGAAACCGGAAGAGGCACTTGGACCCTGTATCCCAGAGTGGGAGAAAGGGTTGGGCACCCGGACTGAGGGAGCCCTGGGGATTGGCAGCTGCTGTGGGCAGGCGGGAGGGATGGGGGGAGGAGTCAACGTGTACATGTGAAAAACTCGGGCGGGGGCCGGGCTTTTCTCTTCCTCCTCCTCCTCCTCCTCCTCCACCCCCTCCCTTCCCTTCCCCTCTCCTCCTCCTCCTCCAGCTCAGGTTGAAGCTTCTCTCGGAAGCCACTCACCTTTCTGGAGTGCAGGAAGCGCCCGGAGCCCGGCAGGGACCCCGGCAGGGACCCCGGCAGGGACCCCGGCAGGGCGCAGGGCACGGCGCTCAGCCCCCGGGAGCCCGGCAGTGGCTGGCGGGAGCGGGCGCGCCGCGACCCAGGACGCGCGGTGAGTCTGCGGGTGCGGCGCGGCTGGCGGCGCCGGGGACGAGGTCGGAGCGGGGTGACCGCGGCGCCCGGACCGGAGCAAAGGTAAGCGGGCGGCCCTTAAAGGCGCCGGGCTGCTTCTCAGCGGAGCGAGAGGCTGGAGGGCAATGCCCGGGCTGCGAGGGGAGGTCGCAGGTCGGGAGCGTGGGTGCATGTGTTGGGGGCGGGGGTCCCCCGGAAAGGCCACTCCCGAGTTCCAGGCGTCCGGGAAGGAGGGCTGTTTCGCAGCCGCAGACCCGCGCCCCGTGGGGATTCTCCATCTGGGACTCCCTTGGCCCCCGAGCTGTTGTCCGAATCCTACAACGCAAAGTTTTCCGCTCAGTCGCCAACCAGGTGCTTCCTAAGCGCCCTTGCTTCCGGGAAGGGCAAGGGTCAGGAGTCCCGGGTGACGAGGGTCCCGATCGCCGCCTTGAAGGGCTTTCTGGGCTCCCGTGAACTTTCCAGATCTCAGCCGGGGGCGGGGGGTGGGGGGGAGGACGGAGCCCTGGGGAGAACGTGGACGGACACGTGAGCCCCGCAGGTCCCGGCGCCGGCCGGGGGTGCCGGGGCGGTGTCAGAGGAGGGGCCGCTGGGGAAGGCGCCTCTGCCCTCGGTCACCCGGAAACCCCGAGGGCCGGTGACCCCGCCCCCACACCCCATCGGAACTCGGGGAGTTAAAGCAACGGTGGGGAAGAGGTGGGGGCTCGCTGGGCGGCGGCCGAGGAGGCTTGGGGATTCGCTGCCCTCGGGCGAATTCGGAATCAGAGTGGGGTACGGGCCGGAGGCCTCTGTTTTCACCCGGTGAGGGGGCAGGTTCCCCGGAGCATCTCCGGGCCTGTGGTGGGAGGCTGCAGGGAGACAGTGGCTGTTTCTCGGTACTGAGAGGTCAACACCGCGCTAGGCACCAGTGCTCCCTTTTACTTCCCTCTGAGCTCTTTCTGGCGGTGGCCCTGAGAGCGTTGAGGCTTAGGGGAAGGGTCAGGTCCCCAGAACTCCCGGGCGCTGGCTGCTGCGGTCTCCCCATCATACCCCCAGCCCAGCCCTCCGCAGCCTTTCCCACTCTGGCGTGTGGCCTGAGCCTTGTGACTCACAGAACCCCTGGCTGGCCCCTGCCTGTCAGCACCCTGCGAGATTCTGCATGCTCCTGTCCCTTCCCACCCGGGCCAGGCACCAAGGATAACTGGATGTGGCCTGGCCATCTAGCTGACTTGAAGGTCTCCAGAGGTTCCCCACCTTTAGCTTGCCATGGGCAGGTCCTGGGAAAATGCCACCTAGAGTCAGGAGAAGGCAAGGCTGGGGGTTGTATCCCAAGGGGTCTCTTAGGAGAGGGTGACTTTGCTGCAGCAGAGCTCTGGTGCCAGCCCCTCTCTAGGCAGTTGATGACCTAGAGGGCTAAGGTCAGCTCTGCCCTAGAGCCTGGCGTGGGGTGTCCCTGGCCATGGGGTTCCTGGGACTCTCCCCACCGGCTGCCCAAACCTGCCAGGAAGATGGAAGAAGTCCACCACTCAAGCCAGGAGGAGCTTCTTCCAAACACATGGGAGCTTTTCAGAGCCAGTATAGACTTGAGTAAGTTAAGTCTGATTTCTGAATGCCTTAGTGACTGCCATTTATTGCGTGTGTGCCAAGCAGCTGGGCGTTATTATTATCCCCATTTGACAGGCCAGGAAGCAGAGACCAGTGCAGAGGTGGGATCCATCTCACTTCCGCCTGTCCCCAAGCCCCTGTCCCCAAGCCTTGCGCCAGCACAGGCAGGTACCAGCCCACTCTGGAGCCCTCAGTCCTTAGGGGGAGGAAGGATGGGGGTGGTGCCCTGTGTAATGAGGCTCCCCTTTGTCCTGTGCCAGACAGAGCCAGGCTTCATCACGAGTGGCAGGAGAGAGGGACCAGATCTGAGGTGCAAGCAGGTTCCTGAGATCTCAGGAGACTCTACTGTCTCGTGGGGACACGGGGCCTAGAGGAGACGGGGAATTTGTCCCCTCTGCAGACCATCTGTGCTCTACTCGGGCCTTCCTGTGCCCAGGGGAACAGGCCCTACACCGTGTGGCAAAGCCTGTGGCCAGCTGTGCCCCACCCAGCCTCTCTTTGTGGGGTTACCCCATTTTAGAGTTCTGTCTAAAATCTCTATCAACCCTTCCTCTGATTCCTTCTTTCCTTTCGTAACTAAGCTTGGGACCTGAAAGCGGGCACACGGGTGATGTGCAGGCCAGCTCTAGCTGACCTTGTGACTCCCCTCTCCCCAGCAAACTCCTGAACGTCACTGACCTCTGTTTCCTCGTGCGTGAAGTGGGGCTCAGAATAGCAAGGTTGTTACAGGAACTTAGGTTATGCACAGTGCCCTTAGCAGAGGCCAGCTAACCAGTCACACTGGTGGACATTCACCTGGAAAGGGACTGTCCCAGACACGGCAGAAGGACTGGCGCAGCTAGTGACCGAGGCAGCTTTCCTACACCCCGAGGGCAGGAGGGCCCGGGGCGGCACTGGAGAGTCCTTCCTGCTGTTGGGGAGGAGGGCTTCAGATAAGAGAATGAGGTTGAAGGGGAACCTGCTTCAGGGACTGGGAATCTGTGCTGCTGGCCCCACCTACTGGCTTCCAGAGTGAAGGAGGAAGCTGCCAGTCTCCGGCCCCACAAGCCTTTGGCAGAGCCTCCTCTCCCTGGGATACTGGACCCTCTCCTACTACTCAGTTATTAGCAGCCCTGTTCTGCTCCATTGTCCAAGAGGGAGGAGCTGGCTTGGATCCAGACCCAACCAGTCAGCTTCCCTTTGGGAATAACTTGCATTTCTTGCCCTTGGCTCTGTCCCCAGATGCAACCTTCTCTCTCCTACCCTGGACCCTTCACCTTTGCCCTCCAGGCGTTCCCTGCTGAGTGGGCACTTTCCCGTCTCAGGTGGGAACACACCAAGGTCAGTCTCATCTGAGCCTCTATGGCCATAGCTCTGTGCGAAAGAAGGCACTCGGAGCCCAGCTCTGCAATGCTCAGGGACCTGGATTACCCCAGAGCCAGTGGCCAGGCCTGGCAGGAGCGGGCCTGTGGTGCAAAAGACAGGCCCCCTGTCTGCAGGGGAGCCCATCTGCACCTGAAGTCCCCAGGGCTCTGTCTGTGGAGGAGCAGGGCTAGGGAAACAACTGAGGTTTGGCTTTGTTTTTGGGTTTTTTTTTGGCACTGGGGATCAAACTCAGGTCCTTGCGCTTGCGCAGCAGGTGGCAAAACCACTGAGCTAAATCCCCAGCCCCTGAAGTTTGGCTTTGAACTAAAAACCGTCTTGGAGCTCCCTGGCAGCGTGTATGGCCTTGGTAACTCAGGACACTGCTCTGGAAAACACTGGCTAAAACTCTAGAAGGGACAGTGGCAAGAGCTCTTTCCTGGAACTCTTAGTGATGGCCCTCACCCGTGTCCCCCTGACTGATGACCTTGTCATGGCTGCCTGATGTGTTCATTCGTTATTTGTATGCTGCGTGTTTGTGTTTGTCCAGCGCGGTGGGGCAGTGTAAGGACTTCAGGATGAGCCGAAGTCCTGTCTCTGCCACTCAGTAACTGCTTGCTTTGGATTAAGTCATTTGCTCACAGAGTTTCAGTTTCCTGTGCTGTAGAAGGGGCGGGTGGCAATATTACTTCCGGTGGTTGTCCAGACTTAGTGAGATCATGTCCACTGTTCTCCGCCTTCCCCTCGCCTGGCGTCATACTGAGCGCTGGTGATGCAGGGAGGCGGCAGGTTCCCCTTGGCAGTTGTTGGTACCTCTGGCTTCTACTTATGTTTTCTGTAAAGCCAGGGTCCCCATAGACGCTAGGGCTCAGGCCCAGCGAGGAAGGGAATTCTCTTCTTAGAATGTGTCTTCCTTTACTGTGAGCACCCTCTCCATTTTCACCACTGTCACAGAAAGTTTTGTCAAAGCGCTACAGTGATTTTGCCTGCGCACCTTGCTTGCCTAAAGAAGCCTGCCCTTGGGGCCGGGGGTTTAGCTCAGTGGTTCCACCGCCTGCCTCTCAAGCACAAGGTCCCGAGTTCGATCCCTGGTACCAAAAAAAAAAAGAAGCCTGCCCTTTCCTGCCTGGGGAGTCCCCTTGGGAACCAAGCCACTCAGCAAAGGAGACCCTTGTGGCATGACCGGCCCAGGAGGAACATGGCTGCCCCACAGCCCCACCCCTGCCTAGAAGCAGGTGTGTGGCAGGTGCCTTGCCACAGAGCTTCCCTCAGAACTGAAGCAGTGCAGGGTCTCCAGGCAAGATGAGGCTAGGAAGGGGTCACAGAGCCCCTCCTGGTCCTGATGTGGAGCCCTGCCGGCAGCCTGCCTGGTGAGGGCTGGGCTAGGGTCCACATTCTGAGCTGACGGCAGGCTCAGTGTGGCCCCTCCTGTGGAAGGCACCCTGAGTGTGCTGCTGTCTTCTTTGGTCCTGGGGCCCAGCAGCCATGGGGGGATGAGTAGAAAGGACCCTGAACTCCAAGTCACAAGCCCAGTTCTGGTCTCAGCTCTGCTCTGTCACTCTGAGTCACCTTGGGCAGATTACAGATCACTGCCCTCTCTAAGTCTAGCCTCCTTGGCCTGAAAAACAAGACCACAGGCAGGGGATTTCTGAAGCCCCACTAACGTGCTGGTTTGTGGCTTCGGCCTGTGCTGGGGGCCCCAGGCAGGACGCACCCTTCTGTCCCACAGATCCTTAGAGCCCATGTGACCAGGATCCCTGGTCAAATGGCCAGGGAACCTGGAAGGCCTCACCCCTGTCAGAGAGGAGAAGAAAAGTCCCTCCTAAAGAGGTGGGTGCTGGATTTAAAGAAGCACTGAATGCTCAAGGGCGAGGTTGGTGACCCATAACTTGGCCAAATCCTGCCTGCTTTTGTATGGCTCACGAGCTAAGAATCGTCTTTGTATTTTTTAGAGTGGGTGGGGAAAATTTTTTTTTTAAATAGTATTTTGTGACACTTAAAGAACTACCTATTGGGCCAGGGTTTAGCTCAGTGGTTCCGCCGCCTGCCTCGCAAGCGAAAGGTCCCGAGTTCGATCCCCAGTACCAAAAAAAAGGATTACCTAAAGGGCTGGGGTGTATCTCAGTGGCAGAGAGCTTGCCTACATGCTAATAGTCCTGGACTGAGTTCTCAGCCCCATAAAAACAAAACAGCAACACAAATGGACAAACACAATCCTATAAAATTCAAATTTTAATGTTCTTAGGTTTTACTGGCACATGGCCACACTCATGCATTTACAAAGGCAGCTTTGCATAGATGCAGCAGATAGTGCGGCCCACAGAGACTAAAATAATGGTTTCTGACCTTTTACAGAAAAAGCTCCTGACCCCTGCCCAAGATAATCATAGTTCCCTCTAGGCCTTGCACTAAATGCTTCTGGAATCTCAAACTCAAAACTGCTTTTATTTAAAAGGAAGCATTGGGGCCAGGGATTTAGCTCAGTGCTGTCTGTCTTGCACACATACAGCGTTCCCAGGTGGTATGCACCTGCCCTCTGCCCCCCCTGGGACCTGGGGGGGACATTGAGGCAGAGGTGGGCCGGTGTGTCTGAGGCTCAGGGGTTTGGGGGGCTGGAGCTGTGGATTGAGAGTCATCAGCACATGGGTGGTGTTTCCACCAAGGGAGATGATGAGGTCACCCAGGAAATGTGCATCATGGGGAAGAGCAAAGGGCCAGAGAGGGAACTCTGGGCGTGGGCCGGCGCAGGGATAGGAGGAGGAAGTGAGTTCTCCAGACCTGGGGGAGAAGGTGGAGGGGAGACCAGGAGACCAAGCTGTCATGGTGGCCGAGGCAGCAGACCGCCAGGTGGGAGGCTGAGGAGGGTGCCTCGCGCTGAGAGGTGCTTGTGGAGTGGGTGAGTGAACAGAAGAAGCCCCTGAGGAACCTGGGCCCTGGTTGGTGAGTGACACTGACTGGGAACATCTAGAGAACACATGTAGGCTCTTCGGAGGCTCCTCAGAGGAGGCCGTGGTGGCTGAGAGGGAGGATTGGTGGCCTAAGGGAAGGTGGACCAGGCAGAATGAGGATGGGCCATCCAAGTGGCCAGGGGCCCAGCAGCTGCTTTTTCAGAGCAGCCACTCAGTCTGGAATGAGAAAGGTTGGAGGAGACCGGCCAGAGGTTCCTGTCAGAGCGTGGACCTGGGGCAGTGTGGGCCAGGCTGGTGGGGCCGGAGTATAAATAGGATGCTGGGAAGCCCTCCCCTCCCCTCCCTGCTCCTGAGACTCTGAGGTCCCCAGGGGAGCAGGCTTTAAAGGCCCTTGCAGTTCTGTGGGTAAAGTTGGGCATAGAGAGAGAAATCAGAGACTCGAGTAAGGGGCTGTGACAGGCTGCCGAGAACTGCACTGGGGTGAGGGGAGCTCAAGGGTGGTTGAGCTCGATGCCCTTTATTCTATTTGTTGTCTAAAAGATGGGGGCAGCAGCATCTGCGCAGAAGCAGGCAGAGAGGAAACAGGTGTTTTTGATGATTTAAGGAGGACCTAAGAAGAACTAAGAAAAGGTTGCCTACTTTGGATTTAAAATTTTTTCATAGTTTTAAATTTTTAATTGACTAATAATAAGTATACATATTTATGGGGTATAATATGATATTTTGCTGTATTTATGCTTTGTGTAATGATTAAATCAGGGTAATTAGCACATCACCATCTCAAAATATTTATCACTTCTTTGTGATAGGAAGACTTCAAGTCTTCCCTTCTAGATATTTTGAAATGTACAGTATATTAGCTAGTCTCCTTGCTATGCAGAGAACACCAGAGTTATTTCTCCTACTCTAACTTTGTCCCATCCCCTTGGATCCCTTCTCGAACTCTGGTAACTGCCATTCCTCTCTCTACTTCCGTAAGTTCGGCTCTTTAAGGTTCCACATATGGGTGAGATCACCCTGTGTATATCTACCCATGTCTGGATTATGTCACTCCATAAAATGTCCTGTGGGTTCACACCATACTATCCCGCTATGAATGTATACCACGCGTGAAAAGTCCATTCATCAGTTGATGGACACCTACGTTGTTTCGTATCTTCGTTACTGTGAATAACGCTGCAGTGAACGTGGAAGAGAAGGTGCCTTTCTCTTCAGCACACTGATTTCAGTTCCTTTGGTATATACACCATCATTGCAATTGCTGGATTGCAGACCCTGGGAGTTTTGAAAATACTGACTGAGGTGGGTGACAGCCCTCCCGTGAGGGTCTTTATAGAGCCTACTGGAAGGAGGAGAGGGCGCCTCCCGTGGCTGGGAGGGGAACAACAGGCTTCGTCTGGGAGCAGGCAATGTAGGAGCCGGGTGCTGTGCCTGCCCCAGCCCCTTGCTCCTGCCTGTGGTCTGGGTGTTTGTGCTGACAGAGGGCATCTTGCCCATCTTACCACTTGGAAATCCAGAGCCTCCTCAAAGATTGCAGTCCAGTCTTAGCTGGGTCCTCTCAAAACGTGAAAAAAAAAATACCAGAAGATGTTATTTGTGCCTCTATTCCTTCAGGCTTAGGAAGCCAGAGAGTAGCAGGGCCGATGGAGCGCTCACACAGAAGAGCTAGAAGTGAGTCCTCAGGGGTTAGGAGGGACTGTCTGCAGGGCCCAGGCCAAGGCCTGAGCCAGGGGAAGGGGCGCAGGAGGAGGGTCCCAAGGCCCTGCCAACCCTGTCTGTTGGAATCTTTCCTCTGGGCTTTCTCACTGTGCTGTGGCACTTCCTGCCCAGAGACCTGCACAGGTCTTAGTTAGGGAGTTGCTCCTGGTCAGGCCGCTGCCCGCTCTCCCCAGGCTCCCATTCCCCCTGGCCATGAGGGCCACACAGTGGCTGGGGGTGGGGGGCTCGGTTATGGCTGAGGCCTCAAGTCCAACTTTCATACAGTCATTCACTGGTCAAACCCAGACGGGTTCAGTCTGGGCCAGGCTCATGTCAGACGCTGGGGCGTAATGACAAGGCAGACCCGCCCTGCCCACTCACGGCAGACTAGGGAAGTAGATCAGTGAACAAGTATAGTGTGGGGAGTCCGGCGCTCTGCAGGGACATCAGGGTGCCGTGTGGGCACAGGAGAGACGCCTCACCTGAGGACGGCAGAGTTTCAGGCAAGAGAAGCCACGAGGAGCAGGCATGGTGGCAGATGACTGTGATCCCAGCACTTGGAGGCTGAGGCAGGAGGATCACCATGAATTTGAGGCCAGCCTGGATTATATAATGAGTTCGAGGCCAGCTTGAGCTACAAAGCAAGATCTTGTCTCAAAAAAGAAAGAGGATGGGGCTGGGGATTTAGCTCAGTGGTTCCGCCACCTGCCTCGCAAGTGGAAGGACCTGAGTTCGATCCCCGGTACCAAAAAAAAAAAGAAAGAGGAGCCCCGAGGGGCACTGTGGAGGGCATCTGGGCTGAGGTCAGGCCCATCCTGAGCCTTTGGCTGGCTCCCCCTGGTCCCTGCCAGGGACAGGGTCCCGATCCCATGTTCTGTGGCCTCTGAGGCCCGAGAGGATGAGGAGGAGATGCTGGGGGTCCAGGGCTGCTGGGCAGGACAGCGTCAGCTTGCTCCATTGTGCTCCACTGTGCCCAAAGAGGGCACAGGGCCAGGCCCACCCTAGTGCGCTTCAGCCCGGGGTGGCCTTGCAGGGCCAAGATGAGCCTAGGAATAGATCTCCTGGCTGCCTGACCCCACGTGGAAGGAAGGCCACTTTCCTGGCAGCAGCAGTGTGCTCGGAGCTGAGAGATGACCTAGACGCAGTCTTCATCCTTGAGGGGTCTGATGTTTGGGGACTGTTGCAGAAAGAGACTGGGTCCCCTCTGGCCTCTTGTTCGTTCCTCCCACAGACCGGGCACCTGTTGGGTCCTGTACCCTGTTCGAGGGGCCAGGGCTGCTCATGTCCCAAGGACACCACAGCCTGGCCATGTGCTCAGGCTGCTGTGGGAGCCGCAGGGGGAAGGGACCGTGACTGCACCCAGCTTCCCAGGGGAGATGACACGGTGGAGTCTGGGAGTGGCTTTACCAGGGAAGAATTGAGGAAGGACACCCAGGCCACAGGGATGGCGTGTGCAAAGGTGTGGGTGTGCGTGTGGGTTTTTTCCGGGAACATCAGGTGTGTTCAGACCTTCTGGGGAAGGGTGAGAGCCGCTGCCCATGAAGACGGGGATCTGCACTGCAGAGGCCTGCACTGCTGGGCCCTGGAGTCTGGGCTTTCCCTGGGGGCAGTGTTAGCTTTGCAGGGCTGGAGGTTAGGAATTAGCCCCACTTAGCAGACAAGAAAACTGAGGCACAGTGCTAGTAAGTGGGGTTTCTTCGACGACACCCACAGTAGAGAATTTTGGAGAACAGGGCTGGACACATATGACCCTCAGGATGCTTCTGACCAGAGTGAGACACTGCACTCGCTACCACTCACCACGCCCCCACCCCTCCACACACAGAAAAAATACACTGTGGGGTCCAGGGCTGATCTGTCCCCAGCAGAGGACCCCGAGCCCCAGACGCTTGGCCTCCTGCAGGTTTGCCCCTCTTGTCCCTCAAGGCCGTCCTGCCTGCTTCCTGCATCCTGAGCAGAGACTGTGGCAGTGTTCTCCGAGTCCTGTCACTGTCCAGAGCATCTGTTCCGGGCAAGGTGAATGCAGGCCTGTCTGTCCTCCTCGGTCCTGGCCAGCCTGAAGGCCCCAGGCCTCTCCCATCCTGGCTGGGGCATGGGGAGGTCAGGGAAGGGGGCTCCCGGATTTCTGCTGCTGCCACTGCCAAAGCTCCGGGCAGCCGGGGTGACTAGCTCCCCCTGAGGTTTGTCTGCCCCTTGCTGAGCGGGGTCAGCTGGAGGATGCAGGAGATGCTATCTGCCCACTCCCTGCAGGCACCGCACTCAGGGAGAGGAAGGTGCGCCTCTGACGTCCGCAAACTTGGTCGACCGTGGCCTGTAGGTCTTTGAAATTCACCCAAGGCCCAGCGTGGCTGAGTGACCAAGATGGGGGCAGGGAGTGAGAGGCAGAGGGAGCCACCAGGGTCCTGGTTGGCAGGCAGCACTGGGGACTGAGGATCAGACACACTGGGCTTCAGGAAGTGGGCAGCTCTGGCCTCCATCCCTTGCCCCTGGGCTCTTGGAGACCTTGATCCAAAACAAAACACTGTAAAGAGGGACTTGGGGGGGCATCTGATGCTGTGTCTGGGACTCAGGAGGTGCCCGTGTGTGCCCGCAGGCACCTGGTGGTCCGGGGGGAGCGGTGAACCTGGCTCCAGCTCTCCATGCCTGACCCGGCTGGGACCTCCGGGCAGCGGAGGCTACTTCAGAGCCCTGATGCTCTGCCAGCCCCCTCCTCTGGCTTCCCCTTCTGCAGCCTGCAGGGGCAGCCCTGGGCCAGGCAACGATGGTCACAGACTTGGGGCTACAAGTTGAGTGGACTACAGATACCTGGTGTGCATCAGAGCTTTCTAACCCCCTAACGCAGGGCGTGAGGCCTATCCCCTTGGTGGCCAGGGTCCTTGCCTGGCACTAGCCCTGCCCTGGTGGCCCTGTGGCCCTGTCCCCTGTGGCTGACCGTGCCCCGTGCTGCTTGGCCGTCTTCCGTCCCAGGGCCCCAGCACTTGGGGGAAGGGCAGTGTGTAGGGCTTGTCTGGTGGAATTTATATGGAGCCTGCTTCCTGGCTGCTCGCTATGTCTGAGCAGGCACCTGAGAGAGCAGCCAGCGTCTCCTGGACACTCTGGGCAGTGCTGTGCGGTGTCAGCTCCCACCTTGGATGTCAAACACTTAACCTGCCCAGCACCCAGTCCCTGGTCTTCCTGTATTAGTCAGCATTTCACCGCTGCGACAAGACACCTGCCATACACAGCCTACATGGAGGAACTGCTTGTGTTGGCTCACATTTCAGTGGTTCAGTCCATGGCCAGCTGACGGCAGAACCATCATGACAGAGGGCATGGCAGGGGAAAGCTGCTCACCTCATGGCATCCAGGAAGCAGGAAGAGGAGGCCAGGGACCAGCCAGGGTCCCCTAGGCCCCACCCCGCAGCCCACCCAGGCAGGTCCGGAAGTGGCTTTGCTAATCTCAGAGGCGTCTCAGCCAGTCCAGCTGCAGGCAGACCAAGTGCCACACTTGACACCAGAACATCCACTCCCAGGACCCCTCAGCTTTCCCAGCGACTGCTCCATCCTTCCAGTCTCGCCTGCGTGACTGCTTTCTCGCCCCCAAGTGCAAACTAGACACCTACAAATCCCAGTGGCTTCCCCTTCAAAACTAAAGTGAATCCAGCCACTTCTTACCAACTACCCCACTGCGCTCATCTGTTCAGACCCTTCTATAACCTGTGAGGCCCAACGTGGCTGCTCTGCATGGACTGCTGGGCCCCTCTCCAGCCAGACTGCTGCTCTAGAACACTGCCTGCCACTTACTTCTGCCTCAGGACCTTCGCACCTGCCCTTCTCTTTGTGGCCTGCCTCCCCCGAATTCCACCTGGAGCCCCCCCATTTCTGAGACATCATCTTCTTAGGGAGCCTTCCTGACCACTGTCTTTAAACTTGCAACACCGTACATCTCACATTGTTCCTCTCTCCTGCGTGATTTTCCTTTATTGGACTTGCCACCATCTAACATATTATTGTATTGTCTGCGTCCCCTTTTCTCCATTAGCACATACAGGGGAGAGGAACTGAGGATGTGGCTCTGGTACAGCACTTGCCCAGTATGCTCCAGGCCTTGGGTTCCATCCCCAGCCAAAAAAAAAACAAAGACAGGAATGTCCATCTCCGTTACCTTGGATTCTCATGCCTGTAACTGCCAAGTGTGTAGTAGGTGTTCAAGAAATAACTGTTGACCGACTGACGGAGGCGAGGCTGGGAGGGATTATGTCACTTCCCTGTGATCGCACAGCCTGCTCCTGGTGGCTCCAGAACCTGAGCCTGGGCTCACACAGCTGTTGATGAGACTGGGAGGGGAGAGACCTGGAACACGGGACAGCACTCAGCTGAGGCCACAGGGAAGGCACGGGGCTCAGGAAGGCTCCAGCCGGAAGAGAGGAGCAGTGTGGTGGGTCTGCTCCTGGCAGCAACCAGAAAATCGCGGCATGATTCTGAGCAAGTGGCTCCCGTCCCAGCCTCTTCGTCCTTGCTGGGCAAGGGACAGAATGAAGGCTTCCTCTGCTGGCCCGGTGGAGTCTGGCCCTGTCTTACAGGGTGCATGGTGGCCTCCGACAGTGCCCCTGGCTCCTCCTTCCTCCTCCTGTGCCACCCACTTTTCTGGTTCCGGCAGGAAGTGCTGGTGGCTGGTGTGTGCCCAGGAGGAAGTAAAAGGCAGGTGGACAGCTGTGCCCTCTTACCTGGGAGGGAGGCAGTGGGCAGGCTGGCTGGGTCTCTGAGGGCCTCCACTGCTGCTGTCCCACACCACCCACTGCCCAGCACCCCTCAACACCCATTGCTCTTCCCTGGCACCAACTGCACAAAGACAGCCCCACATGGCTCCCTGGCCTGAGCACAAAGGCCACACTGTGCCTTGCCCTGGACTGGCCTCAGGCTATGTCACACTGAACCCTTCTGTCCCCAGCTGGGGGTGAGAGGCAGACAGCACCAAGGTGACAGGCCTTTTTCCTGTCTCCCTTCCCCCTCGGCCCCCAAATCTGAGGAGCTGACTCTACCAAGAGAAATGTGACAGAAGCATCTTGTGTCTTGAGCTTGGGAGCAACAGACCAGTCTCGACCTGTCTGCCCTGTCACACCCAAGACCCTGTGAAGTTCAATGCGCTGACTGTCCCCAGCAGAGACAGAGGCGTCCTCGCTGTGCTTCGGCCATCACCATCAGGAAGCCCATCCCTGCATCTGACCACCATCCCTCTGTGGCAGTGGAGGACAGCTGGTCCCCACCCTCCTGCACTGCTGTGGCCCCATGTCCCTGCTCAAGTCTGCTGCTCCCAATTTCACCCTGTCACACCCTCCACACCAGCCCAGCCCCCTACCCTGGTGGCTCCTTGCTCCTAACCGAACTGTGGGAGAAGCTAGTGTGGCTGTCCTCTGTCCTGCAGAAATTGGGGCCCTCCCGCCCCAACGCTTTGGAGAAGCTCCCTGCACCCCAAGCCAGATTCACGGCAGCTCCCGGGGGATTCCTGAGCCACCAGTGCAACTCGCCGTCCTGTAAAGCCCAGGCTGCAGGGTGGCTTAACATGGAAGCCCTGCTTTTGGAAAGGGGTGTGGCTGGTCTCTCTTAGCCAGCTCAGCCCGCCTGGAGCCACACGCCTACCCCCAGAGTGACCAGGAGGGATCCGGGCCATCAGCCTGTGCAGCGCAGTTGAGCTGCTTCCAGGGCAGAGATGGCTCCTCTCCCGGGGACTCCTGCTCCCCTGGGCCCCTCCCTCCTGCTCGTCTCCCTTCCTGCCTCAGCACAGAGCCCAGTCTGGAAACCTGGCAGAGAATTAGCCCTCCCCTGCACCCAAAATGCATCCCAACTGTGGCTCCAAGTGCAGACTGTGGGAAATGCTGTGTAAGACTGCACTTTCCCCTGCGCACTGTGATGCTGCCCGAAATCTCAGCTACTGCAGAGACCAAGGCTGGAAGGTCACAGGATTGAGGCTGGCCTGGGCAACTTAGTGAGCTGTCTCAAAAAAAGGGGACATTTTCCTTGCCTGGCATGCTCAAGGCAGTCCTGGGTTTGACCCGCAGCATGGGTGAGAGAAGAGAGCTTCAGTTCCAGAAGCTAAGGGTGAGACCAGGGATCTGAATTTCTTTTTACAATGCTTGATGTTGCCGCCCTCCTGCCTGCTGGGAAATGGGAGCTGCTGGGTAGGGCATGTCTGAGCCTCCTGTCCGAGCGTCTGCAGACACAGCCCAGGCAGCAGCTGAAGCTGGCTGGCAGGGAGCGGGTGTTGCTGGGGGGCCAGGACCGTCTAGGGCAGGTGGGGGCCGTGCGGAAGCTGAACTGCATGAAGATGGGGACTGCGCTTTGTGTGACCCGAGCCTCGCACACACAGCACACATCAGGTGCTCGGCCCTTGATGTGTTGGGCAGCACTGAGTCAGCCTGCAAGGCTCCCTGTTTGGCTGGCAGTAAGTATCTGAGCTTGATACTGAGAGGCACCGGCCTGGGCTCAGCAGGCCTGCGTGTGGGGTAGCCAGGAGCACGCAGGGCCTGGGAGGGGACCCTTTCCAGGCTGGCTGAGGACACAAGGGCATGATCATTAAGCAAAGCAAACGTGTTACTGACCCATAATCCCTTAAACCAGGAGGATTCAGGAGGGGCCCGGTTGCCTTGGCAACTAGGTGCTGGCCAGCAGCCGGCTGAGCATCCTCCAGGAGTGGGCTGCGGGTGCGTGGGTAGAGCCAGGGAGGAGGCGGGTGGGCCCTTCCCTCCATGGGCCATCCCTGAGGCCTCGGCAGGGGTGGATGTGGGCCTCTGTGTGGCCTGCTGGTCCCTCCTTATCCCCATGGCAGCTCAGCGAAGGCAGTGTGACAGAGCAGGATGAGGAGGTGGCTCACTGGGACTTAGGCCCCCTGCCATGGAGCAGAGGCGGGACAGCCCCACTGGGTGTTCAGGACTCTGTCAGAGGCCCAGCAGCCAGGGGGAGCTGCTTCTGGCTGGGGAAGGGCCCGGGTGAGCAGAGCACCCCTCCACTGTGTTCTCAGGTAGGGTATCCACCCTGTTCTCAACACTTTGGCATAGGAGGGGCCGCAGGACTCCGCCTTCCTCCCCGGGGGGCTGTCCTGTTTCCCTGCCCCTGGTCCCCATATTTCAGCTGGAGAGGGGTGAAGCTGAGCCAGATCCCCTGCCCACTTTTCCTCCTTCAACCCTTTCCTCTTTTTTCTGGGCTCTTGTGGGCCCAGGACAAGCAGGGGACACACTTGTAGTACGAGTATTCCAGGAGTTTGGACCAGATGGTGTGCAGAGGGGCTCGGCCACGTGAGTGAGGTTCATCGGCCAGGAAGGCTCCCTGGCTGCTGACATGTTTGCACGCTTACTAGGTGCCTGGGACCAGCCAGTCCTGGGGGCTCCCTGCCTTCAGCAGTGAAGGTGTTTGCTGTTCCAGCTGATGCAGGTCGTGACCGTCTCCCCAGGAGAAGGGGATCTGAGGGCATAGGAAGCAGGCTGGGTACTCCCCTCAAAGCACCTGGACTCTGGAGAAGACACAGCTCTGAGGGCAGTGCCTGGAGGCTGTGACCCAAGCTACTCAAGAGGCTGAAGCGGGGATAGCAAGTTCTAGGCCAGTCTGGGCAACAGCAAGATCTTGTCCCAAAATGTAAAGGCTGGGGGTGTAGCTCAGAGGGACAGCGCCCGGTTTTGATCCCCAGTACCAAAAAGAATGAGGAGGACAATTTTGCAGCATGCAGGACAGCAGGCTGGACGAGAAGAGGGGACCCTGAACCCACAATTGGGGTACACCTGGGCGTTGTCTTGTGCTTCTCACCCCTCCCTCCCAGGACCCCACCGCTGGCTCCTGATGATCATGAACAAGATGAAGAACTTTAGGCGTCGGTTCTCACTGTCTGTGCCCCGCACGGAGACCATCGAGGAGTCTTTGGCCGAATTCACGGAGCAGTTCAACCAGCTCCACAACCAGAGGAACGAGGGTGCGGGCTCGCCACACCTCTCCTGCCCTGACTGTCCCACCAGGCCCTGCTGGATGTCCCCAAGGCCTCGGGGAGGAGGATGGGGGTGCTGGGGCCTGGGCATGGTGGCAGGGACGGCAGCTGATGGCTGCTTCCTGTCCCTCTCAGGCCTGCAGCTCGGTCCCCTTGGGACAGACCCTACCCTGGAGCCCAGCCCCTTCTCCCCCACAGACGGCGGGGAGGAGCCCGGGCGACTGTCCCCCAGCATGCAGTACCGGCGACGGCAGAACCAGCGCCGCTTCTCCATGGAGGTGAGGGCTTCCCTTCCTTCCTGGCTGCAGGACATGCAGATGTATGCCCAGGAGGGGAGCCGCTTTGGAGCCAGACTTCGTGGGTTCGAATCTCAGCTGTGCTATTCATTAGCTCTGTGACTTTGAGCCAGTTACTCAGCCTGTGTCCAACAGTCTCCTTGTCCTTAGAACGGTCTTGGTGAGGATTAAATGGGTTAATATATGCCAAGTGCTCGGGACATTCCTGGAACATAGCAAAGGCAGAACAACATGACTATTGTTCTTTGCCCCGTATACGTGTGCCAAGAATATGGAAAATAAGCTCACAGAATTACAGTGTCTGCGAGGGCAGGAGCTGCAGGTTCTCCCTCTGCACAGGTGGTGATACAGTGGTCCTGAGAGGGGAAAGAACCTCCTGAGGTCACATAGCAACCCCAGGTGTTCACATATGTGTCTGGGACACCCCCAAAGAGGCTGTGAGCCTGGGTCCCGGCCTGGGATCTGGGCCTGCTGTGATTGCTCTACAGAGAAAGCTAGGCCCAGAGCGACGATGTGGGCCTGCAGCCCCCTTAGAGCCAGTGCAGTGTCCTTCTGCCACTGCAGGACATCAGCAAGAGGCTCTCCCTGCCCATGGACATCCGCCTGCCACAGGAGTTCCTGCAGAAGCTACAGCTAGAGAGCTCAGACCTGCCCAGGCCGCTCAGCCGCATGTCCCGCCGAGCCTCACTGGTGAGTCCCAAGAGGGTCAGAGACCATTAAGGTAGGCCCCATCTCCCTGGCTCGGCCCAGCCTGGCCCAGCTGAGGCCAGTAGTGGTTTTTGGAAAGCTTTCTAGGCCTCTGGCGCCACCTGCTGGTCACAGTGCTTCAAACCGCGGGTCTTCCCAGACCGCGCATTTCCAGTAGGGTCCCAACAGAGCTAAGCTCTAAGCCGGCTCTGAGCCCCAGGGTAGACCAGCTGGCCTGTGCTTCCCAGTCCTAGGCACCTGTCACATTTTTGGGAGCATTTTACAAAACAAAGACCCTGGGCCTACTCTAGACACCTGCAGAATCAGCCTCTCTGGGTGGAGCCTCTCTGGGCTGCCCTGTTAAGAGCTAGAAGGAAGAGGTGTGCCCATGGGAGGCACTGAGAAGTGGGTTCCAAACACACCCTCGTGTGATGGAGAAAAAGATACACGCCTTCTGGGAGGAGCTTGTAATCCCAACAAGACAGCTGGGAGCAGGGTGGCCCCACATCCCTGACGGTCACAGGCAGAAGGTTCCACACTGCTGAGGGGCCCTCTGCCATCACAGGGATGGAGGAAATGGTCTGAGTTGCTCCCTCTGCACACCGGGGGCCTCATTCCCTTCCCTCCCAGAGGCTGGAGGTGGAGGCCTTTGGGGCCTTGGATCTCACAGCAGCCTGTCTTCCTCCAGTCAGACATCGGCTTTGGGAAACTGGAAACATACGTGAAGCTGGACAAACTAGGGGAGGTAAGGGCTGGGGCGTCTCCTCCAGTGACATACACAGGCCCTGCCCCCACAGTCCCTCCCCGAGAGCTGCACCCTCTTGGCCACAAAGCCTGGCCCAGCCTTTAGCAAGTGTTGCTGGGGCCCCTGGTCCTGAACAGGACTGGAAGACAGAGCAGCCCATGGGCCCTGCACACAGTCCAGTCTGTTCCTGCGAGTACTGTCCGCCTGGATTGATATCCCAGGTCTACCACTTACTAGCTCTGTGAGCTTGGGCAAGTTACTCAACCTCTCTCTGTGCCTCAAGTTCCTCCTCTGTCAAATAGGACTAATTGTTCTCCTCAGGGTTGTGGTGAGGATTAAGGACACATGATAAGCACTTAGCTCCTGCTGCACAGCTAAGGCTGTGTCACTAAGCTAATTCTGCAGCACTGTGTTGGGGTGGCAGGCTCCGGTTCGCAGGAGGAGAAAGGCCCCTTCCCAAGGATGAGGAAAAATGACACTGGTGTCAGAACAGAGGGCATCCATTTTGACCCGGAAGCTCTTAAGGGCTCTTCACAGAGGAAGTGGGCTTTGGGGGAAACAGAATTTCATGAAAGGTGAAGGGCACTTGTACTAAAGGGCCCAGCCCAAGCACCAGAGGAGGGAGGACCCTGGGCCGCAGAGAGCAGCACCTGAGAGCTGACAGGTGGATGCTCCCCCACCCAGGGCACCTATGCCACAGTCTTCAAGGGGCGCAGCAAGCTGACACAGAATCTGGTGGCCCTGAAGGAAATCCGGCTGGAGCATGAGGAGGGGGCACCCTGCACTGCCATCCGAGAGGGTACATACAGTGGCCTGGGACCCACACTCCCACAGGGGTTGAGGGAGGCTCAGCAGTCTGTGTCCTACTGGGAGCCTGGGGTGGAGGCCATTGCTGACCCCAGGAAGAGGACATAAGGGCCTCAGGCAGGCCTGTCTCCCCAGTGTCGCTGCTGAAGAACCTGAAGCACGCCAACATCGTGACCCTGCATGACCTCATCCACACAGACCGGTCCCTCACTCTGGTGTTTGAGTACCTGGTGAGCCAGGCTGAGGCTGGCGGCCTCTCCTGCCTGTGGCTGGGGTGTAGTGTGAGGAGGGAGATGAGGGAACAGGAGAGATGGGGAGGGAGCCCCAAACCTTGTTCTGGAATCAGGCTCTCGGATGCTCCTGGGTGGGAGTACCTAAGAGCCAGGAACCTGTCCCACTAGGGCCTTGGGCCCTGCGCAGGAGGGGCTTCCTCTCCTGAGTTTGTACTGAGCCAGGCTCTGTGTTGCAGGACAGTGACCTGAAGCAGTATTTAGACCACTGTGGAAACCTCATGAGTATGCACAATGTCAAGGTGAGGGCCTCCAAGGCTGCACCCCATCCTTCCTGACTCCCATCATGCCGGGGCCCCAGGTGCTGAGCACACTCAGAGCTTCAAGTGCAGGAAGGAGGGATAGGGCACTTCGATGCAGTGAGCCAAGGCCTGGGAAGGGGACCTTGCCCCAGAGCAGAGATAGAAGCTCTCCGCCACAGTCCAGCTGTAAAGCCCAGCTCTAATGCCAAGCGTCAGTTTCCCCATCTGTCAGCTGGGAGCCTGCACTGCCTACCAGGATGCAGGGAGGGAGACTTCCAGGACCCTGGAGGGATGGATGGCCCCTTCCGGTGTCTGTTAAAGAACTAAGTGCACATATCCCAAACAGGCGGCTCCTGCCCCACTCTACCCTGACATGACACACTCCAACTTGGGGACACGGGCTTCCTGCACGCTCACTGCCTCTTCCACGCAGCCGGGCCTCCCCTCTGGCTGGGAGCCCCCCATGTCCGGGGCCCAGGAGGGACATAGGGCGGGAGGAGCCAGGCAGGCCCCCAGGGACTTGTGCTTGCTGGCCCCCTGCAATCCCTGCTCCCGTTTGTTTCCACCCCGGCCTTGAGGCAGAGGTGCCAGGTCTCCCAGGGGGACAGGCTCTCACCTTCTACTTCTCCTCTCCCCACTCCCCAGATTTTCATGTTCCAGCTGCTCCGGGGCCTGGCCTACTGCCACCGGCGCAAGATCCTGCACCGGGACCTGAAACCCCAGAACCTGCTCATCAACGACAGAGGCGAGCTGAAGCTGGCCGACTTCGGTGAGGCTGGGGCAGCGTGGGGTCTGACTCTGACTCACTGGGGCCACCCCAGGATGTGGGTGCCATGGGCAGGGTTCAGCAGTCAACCCTGTGAGCAAAGGTCAGTGACTCGCTGTCCCTAGGCCTGGCCCGGGCCAAGTCCGTGCCCACGAAGACCTACTCCAATGAGGTGGTGACCCTGTGGTACAGGCCCCCCGACGTGCTGCTGGGGTCCACAGAGTACTCCACGCCCATCGATATGTGGTGAGTGTGACTAAGGGGACTCCAGAAAGAACCACCTAACTCCTTAAGTAAAAGTCGCGTGGCCCCTGCCTCTGCGGATGTTAAAAAATGAGCCTGCAGCAGATTAGGGTTTCCCCGTCTTAAATAACCCCCCAATCCCGTGCTTCTGAAGTAGGGGCCTGGGGGTTACCTGAGGGTACAGGAGGGCCCCTCTCTACAGTAAATAGGATGAATTTCCCCCAAGCATCAGTCCTAGTGGTAATTTTGCAAGGAATACTTTTATTTTTACGTCAAAATTAACAAATCCAAGACTTGGCATAAAATGAAAAACCAGTCCAAATTTGAAGCTAAAACTTAAGATTTCTGCTGAATGCTCCCCATGCCTGTGCCCAGGGCTTCCTAGGAGGCCAGGGTGTGGGCCTCTCTTCCAGCCGGGCCACCAGGCAGTGGAGGCCCGCACCCCAGAGGGAGAGGGAGGTCGCACCTCCCTAGGACCCAGGGCGTCCCCCGGAGGGGCTGCAGTGCGGACTGGGCAGTTCCAGGCGCCTCCTGCCACAGTGGCAAGGCGTCCTTGGTACCCGGATGGAGCAGCCCTAGGAAGGGCGGCCGCTCCTCCCTGACACGCCCCTGCCCCTTGCTTCCGGCAGGGGCGTGGGCTGCATCCACTACGAGATGGCCACAGGGAGGCCCCTCTTCCCGGGCTCCACGGTCAAGGAGGAGCTGCACCTCATCTTCCGCCTCCTCGGTCAGTCTCTTGCGCACCCTTGCTCTGGCCGCCAGAGGGCGCCCGCACCCCGCCCAGCAGGACTCCTTAGCTGCCACCTCCGGCCTCGCACTCCTCCGCGTCGGTCCTGGCCCCTCACCCACGCCCTCTCCACCCCCTCTCGTCCCTCCAGGGACCCCTACAGAAGAAACGTGGCCCGGTGTGACGACACTGCCAGAGTTCCGAGCCTACAACTTCCCCGCGTACCTGCCGCAGCCGCTGCTCAGCCACGCCCCCAGGTAGCCTCGCCCGGGTAGCCACGCCCCCACGTAGCCACGCCCTCACGACCCCAGAAAGAACTTGTGCAGCAGCACCTCCCCTTTCAGGTTGGATACTGACGGCATCAACCTCCTGACCGGCCTCCTCCTGGTGAGTGACCTTCCCGGGGGTTGAGGATCGACACCCCACGCCCTTCCTGCCTTAGGCCCCAACTTCCGCGGCTCCTGTGCGCATCTCTCCCGCTTACTGGCTGGGTAGCTTTGGGGGTGTTCCAGAGAACCTGTGTGTGCTTCAGTTTCCTCACCTGCAAGACGGAATTGATAGCTCATACCTCGTAAGATAGTGGTGAGGATACACCTAGGTTGTGAGGTGCAGCGAGCCACCTGTCCTGAAGCAAGCACAGCACAGCGAGAGGGCAGTGTACCTGCCAGTCGTGCCCACACTCAGTGTTGGTCATGCGGCCTCGCATCGGAACCTTTATCCCCGGAGGAAGCCCCTCCCTGAAGTCCCATTTCTGCTGGCTGGACACCTGGGCGGCTGAGACAGCCTGGGGCGTGGTCGGGTCGGGCCAGCCGCTGACCCCAGGCCCTCCCACCCTGGCCGCCTAACTTGTTACGGAGGTTGCAGTGCCTGTAGGGGTCCCCACAGTGCCCAGTAGCCCACCCTGTGTTTGCAGTACGAATCCAAGAGTCGCACCTCAGCAGAGGCAGCCCTGAGTCACCCCTACTTCCGGTCTCTGGGAGAACACGTGCACCAGCTCGAGGACAGTGAGTGTCTGATGGGGTGGGGCCACCCCGGACCCAGGGGTGGCTGAGAGGGAACAGAGGCCAGAGGCTCAGATCCACTGAGCAGCCTGATGCAGGCAGGGTCCCTGCCAAGGGTTCTCATTTGGACCTCAGGGGGCAGAGTCTGTGGGCCTGGCCCTGACGGAAGGGCTCTCCGAGACAGTGGGGGCGCCACCCAGCCCTCTCCCTGTCCCACTTCTCTCCCCCAGCTGCCTCCATCTTCTCCCTGAGGGAGACTCGGCTCCAGCAGGACCCGGGGTACCGTGGCTTGGCTTTCCAGCATCCAGGTAGGGCCCCCACTGCTCTCCCTGCTAGAGGGGCTGGGCGAGCCACCTGTCCCCAGTGGGGGCTCCCTCCAGAAGAGCCTGGGCCTGTGTTGGGGACTCAACTCGGTCCCCCTCAGGTAGCTCCTCCTGGGAGGTTTCTCCACCCCACAGGATGCCACGTCGGCGTGGTTCTGGCACAGGGGCTTCCTCTGGTGCACGTGCTCTCCCCACCTGAGCCCCTGGCCAGTCTGCACTGAGAGAACTGTTTTGCCTACACCAGCCAGTGGCCTTGGACCTGACCAGTGCTCCCCGAGCATTCTTATTTCACCCTTAGGACTCCATAGCCTTGGCACCTTTAATGTTCCCAGTCACAACAGACGGGATTTGAACACAGGACTGCCCCAGTCCTAAGCACATTCCTGTGCTTGTTTGTTCAGAGTGGGGGATGAGTGACCCTCCAGATCTTGGGCACCTTTCAGCCCGACTCCTCCCTGAAGTCCCGCGGTCGTCCCCCCACCCCACCCCGTTCTGCAGGACGAGGGAAGAACCGGCGGCAGAGCATCTTCTGAGCTGTGCCCGCTCTGCTGTGGCGAGGGATGTGAGGTCACGTGAAGCACACATTTCGGCAGGGCGAGGCCTGTGTGGCTGCCGGAGGACCGAGGAGCAAGAGCCAGGGGCCAGCCTGGAAGACTGGGCAGCCCTGCCGGGCGCAGCTGCCTCCTCTCCCTGTCCCCCATAACCTCCTGGTGGCCTTGCCTGGACACCAACCCTCTGTCACCTGCCACGGGCTGGGAGGAGCCGCTCCCAGCCCGAAGCACTGGGGCTCAGCGAGGGCCCCTCCTGCATGGGAAAATCCAGGTGCTGCGCTGAGCTCTGGGCCAGATGCAGGCCCACCATGCCTCCCCCAGGGCCTGCCCGCCTCTCCGGATTGGCAGCCCCCCTCGGCCCCCATGGAGCCTGCACACATTCCACCTCCCTCCTCTGAGAGCCAGAAGGGCCATGGCACCTTGTGTGGGACTCAAGGGCACGTGTTCCCTGGAGCAGCAGGAGAAACAGCAGTCCTGTCCCTCGATCCCTGCCCCCTTCTCCTTGCCAGGGCCCACTTGGGCCAAGGCTGAGCAGCACAGGGATGCCCAGCAGCGCTCCCTGCCTCCACCAGCCCTTCCCGTGTCCCTGATCTGGATGGAGTTGCCTTAACTGGCAAGTGGTAGAGTGTGCGCTGTCCTTGGAGCTCTGACCCAGCTCCTGCCTGTCCGCTTCCCAAGGACTGCTCTGCCTGTCTTATCCCCGAGCACCGATAAGTCAGGCCCGGGCCAGGGTCCTGAGAGTAGCACCGAGATATGCAGGGCCACGGTGACACTGGTGCCAGGCCAGCCTCTGCGCCTTGGCGCTGACATGGCTCCCAGTCCCCTCCTCCCTCCCTCGCCCTGTGGCTCTGTGCACTTGACCCTGGCACCAGTGCGCTCAGAGGGTGGTCATGAGCGGAAGCACGTGAATGCCACAGCCCTAGTAGAGGAAGTGGGGTGGGAGCAGGTTGGGTGGTAAGAGCCCCCGAAGAGGACCCCTCCTCAGCACCCCACATCCCCAAGGCGTCAGCCTGGCTGAATCCTGAAGGGCAGAGGCCGAGGGGAGGCTGGGCCTGGCTCCTTCCGCACCCCCATCCCAGCCCAGGAGCATCAGGGCTCCCCCAGCCCTCTCTCCTCCCCCACTGTACTGTGAATGTCCTGTGACTCAGCACAAAGGCAGATAATATATTTAATTCATGTACAGAAAGGAGCACGCAGTCTGGTGCACAAATGGTTACTGGCAGATCGATGCCAAAGTTGCAGGAGCTTCCACACTCTGCCTGCTGTACTCAGGGCCAGATGCGATCTGAGAACAAGCCCAAGGCAGGGTGCCTGACAGTCCCGGGGAGGGGCCTGGGCTCTGGCTGCCATCCTGGGCTGTGGCCTCCGGATGCTTCACTGGGAGGGAGGGAGGGAGGCTGAGAGAGGAGGTGGGATTGGGGTGGCCGAGGCCAAGCAGCTGTGAGCCGCACTGTCATTCAGACCCGCAGTCATCGCTACAGGCCCCGAACCCCTCCCGCTGCTGCTCAGGCCGCCTCGTCCCCCGGACTCACCCTGTCACACACAGCCTCCCAGCTCTTGGAGTTCTGCTCCCTCCAGCTCCTGTCCAGCTCTCTGTAGAGACCACTCTGCAATGCCAGGCCCCAACCACGCCTCCTGAGCTCCCCTGCCCATGGCCTCAGTTTGGGCCTTGTGCTCTCTTTTGCTGGTGTGCTTGAGGGGACAGCTACTCTGCAGAGGAGGAGCCCAGGGCCCAGCGGTCAGCGATCCCCCCCAGGCCATTAAAGAAGGGGTGAGCCAAATCCAGTATCCCCTAGACCCCCTTGCCAGAGTATGGGACCATGGCTCAGAGTATGTTTGGCGGGGATCTGAATGGGGCTTTTAAACTGAACTTGAAGTCCACCTGAAGGAGCCTGTGTTTATAAAGCGCTGCCCTGTGCCCGACATGGGCCTCATTGAATCTGCACAAGAACCCCTTTCCACTTTGCATATAAGGACAGCAGGGCCTCAGGGATTGAGTGACTCCCCAGGTTGCATAGCAACTGAGAGTCCCCAGCCCTCGGTCTTCAAGGAGGGGAGCTGTACACAGTGCAGAGCCCCAGGAGGCAGGAAGCCTCTAGGAGGGGCCTGGGCAGACAGCTTTGCTGGAGGGGCCGCTGTGCATCATGGGCATTGAGCTGCTGCCTTCGAAGGTCGCTGGGGTCTTGGATGTAAAGCCCACTGGACAGCTCACCCCAGACCTTGGGCGTAGGTAGAGATGGCTCCAGAAGAGGGAGCTGGGCTGAGGAGCAAAGCCAGGGCTTGTAGGCTGCAGGAGCTGTCCCGGGCTCCCCAGGGACCAGGATAAGCCACAGCCCAGCCCCACGGCCTGGAGCCCTTGGTTTCCTGCACACCGGACAGTCATTTCTGGATGCCATATGGCCCTTATAAACAGCAGTCTGCCATTCCACCAGAGTCCTGACCACAACCACTGTTTGGTGAGTCATTGACCCTCTGGCCTCACGTTGGCTGTCTGTCCCTGGGATGGGTCAGGAAGGCCTGGGGTCCCAGCTGGCCGCCTTACCATTCCCCCTTGGCAAGGGCATTTGTGGTTTGCAGCACCCCTGCAGCTGCTGATGAAAGGTTATGTTTGATGACCGCTGCAAGGTAGAGGTGATGCCAACTCCCACCCTGAAGTGGCCTGGAGCTGGCTCTCCCCGGCCCCAGCCATCCTGGGTGTCCCAGGCACGAAGGTCAGGGCCCTGTGGGTGCCATGTGTCATCACTGTGGCAAGCCCTGGCCCTGTCCTCCTCTCTGGGCAGCTCAGTGCCCTTCGGTCTATCCTGCCAGCATCTCTGCTCTGACCCCTGCTTCTGTGTGGGGCATGCCACAGCACCCCATGAACTCTGTGTCTCCAGAGCAAGTCCTCAGCCTGGCTCTGTGCTGCACACAGAACACTGAGGCACCCGCACTCCAGCCCTGTCCAGGCTGCACCACACAGCAGTGAAGGAGTAGGCCAGGTCCCTGCTCCCCCGCAGCCCACCTTCCAGGGGGGCAGAGGCATCCCCAGATCAGCACAAGGCGGGCATGTCGGGGTGTCTGGAGCTCAAGGAGCAAAATAAAGTGGGGTCAGGGGAGAAATGAGGGTGCAGGGGGTGCTGGCATAGCAGCTGAGTGCTGATGTGCTCAGAGACCTCTGACTGGTTCTCGGGGAGCAGTGGCTTCCAAGGGAGGGAATCAAGTGGACAGTCAGGGACAGGATGGACAGCAAAGCCCCACAGGGGATCCACTTGAACAAACGGCAGTAAGGCCAAAGCTGAGCAGGCTGGGAACCACCAGGACCATGTGGTTGCACTGCTTCTGTCCAGCTGGGGAGCACTTAGGACCTGTTGATGCCTGCTCCAGCTGGGTGGATTCCATCAGATTTTTTTTTGTTTTTCTGTACTGGGGATTGAACTTGGGCCTTAGCCCAGCCCTTCAGAGTTTTGTTTGTTTGTTTGTTTGCTTGTTTTTTACTTAGAAAGAGTCTTACTAAGTTTCGGGACTGGATTTAAACTTGTGATCCTACCTTGACCTCGGAGAGTGCTGGAATTCTAGCCAGTGCCACCCTGTCCAGCTACCATCAGACTTTTTATGTTTTCTTTTCTTTTTTTGATGCCGGGGATCACACTCAGGACCTTGC